GACATTCATCTTTGGGATCGCTACATCACCCAGTACCATCCAGCACATGCTTCCCCACTCTGTGTCCTCCCTGCTCTGTATCGAGCTCTTCCAGTCGCTGTCATGCATGCAACACCTGGCTACAGTCATTGACAAGGTAAGTTCAACCTGACCAAAGAATAAAAAAAACATAAAAACACTGATCTGTGCAAGCCTCCAGATGGGAAAACCTTCCTGATATCTATGAGTCCATGTGTACATTTAGCTTTCCAATCTGAAGACTGTTGCATGCTTAAACATATCTAACATCTTCTTTTTGAAAGCGATTTCCTGAGTGTAAGTTACATTTTAAACCTCCTGACACCACCAGGTTGCAGACGAGCAGGCTCTGGTTAGAGGCATGTTTTCCAGGAATTAGATGGTACATTTATTATAAATTGTCCTACATTTATAACATTAGTTTCTGTTTTCCATTTCAGTGCCTCAAAAAGGATGCATTTGTTTTTGAGCGAGCCATAGCTGTCACACTAACCCTAACTGCAGATGATCAGTGGCCTGGAGGATGTAAAGAAATTAAATAAAAGTAGTTAAATGTTCTTTCTTTTATTATTTCAGTTGATCCTGACATCACACATTGCTTTTAAACTCAACGGGAAAGTGATGCAGGTCCTCATCGGCGTCTTCCTCTACCATGATTTCTCAGTGAGAAACTTCATTAAGGGACTGCAGGTATGGAGCATCCTCTGACAGTCTCCTCAAGTCTGTCATCCTCCTCTTTTCTGTGTAATTCAAATACAGAAATATGTGAGTTTAAAGTTTCTGTTTGGTCTTTGTGCAGCTGGCTCTGCTCGAGCACTTTCACTCTCAGCCTCTCAGTGTTCTGTGTTGCAAGAAAAAGAAGGCTCTGTTCAACGTCACACAGCTCAGCAAACCCAACTTGGACAGGATAAGACAGCTGCCGTCGTTCAAAAGGTACTCAAACTTGTTTCTTTCTCCAATCATCCCACCCGTGTGAGTCAAAAATGCAAATGCAGCACTTATTTAGCTGCAAAAAGTGATGGTAGGTGACTTGGCATGTTATTAATTTGTGTATTTGTGTTTACCTTTTTTCAAATGTGAAAGCAAGACTTTGAATTGTTTTAATGTGTGTGTTTCGCTAGATATGTGGAGAAGCAGGAAGCACAGGAACAGGTCAATCTGATGACCGATGACTCTCACTTAAAGGTACATTCTCATCATCTGAAATGCTGAACGCGCACGTTTTCAGATCTTGTAATGTCTGAGGTTTTTGAACAAGACCTGCTTGGTCGGTTTTTAGGAGGTGTGTCAACAACTGATAAAGGATCTCCACAAATACCACAAGAACTATTATCCCATCCTGAGGTGTCTCCACACTCTGACCTCATCGTTACCTCGATATCCTCTCGGAAAACAGGCAAGAGTTCACAGTTTTAATGCCTAAGCATCCCACTATTTCTGACCTCCTGTAGATCTAAGCTATATCTTCTTTATTACCAAAGTACTGCTGTTTAATCTGCCATGACATAACAGTGGATTAATTTGCATTACAGATCAGGGAGCTCCATTTAATATGTCTGGCGAACAATGTATGGGAGAATGAGGACTACCAGTCAGCCATGAAGCTTGTAAAGTAAGCGTGATTTGCTGGCACATAGTAAAAAGTTGGTAACATGAACAGTCTGCTAAAAACTGACTTAAATTTTAGGCACACCTAGTATTTTAAGATGGATTATTTGTACTAATCGACAGTAAATAATTAAAAAAACTACTTGAGCAGATGAGATTGGAATATTTCACCACCAGATGGCAGCATATTCATGGTTGATCAGAAGGTTATTGTGCCTCCTGGTGGCCAAATTACTATTCATAGACAACAAACGAATGCTGTGCCTTTGTTGGATGTCTTTTTTTTTGTTTTGTTTTTTTTCTCTTTGACCCTAAAATAATCACTTGAGGTGCTAACGTGTTTTCCTTTTAGGATGCTGGCAAAAGGCGAGTTGGTTTCTTTGCTACAGAAGTGTGTGGAGATACTGCAGCTCAGCAAGTCAAAGAAGATGAAGAATGCTCTCGTCCAGCTGGAGGAACTACTTGCCAGATTCAAGCAGCTGGACAGTAAGTTGAAGATATGATTTTGTGTGATCTCGATTCAAGAAGAGATCGCTAGCAGATGGTATAACAGAGAAGGCGGTGGATTTTTAAACCAGACTGTTTAACATAATCTCGGCGATTGAGAGGAAGCCTCAGGAATGGAGGAGAAATGTACTGGTAGCAACTTTCAGTAACAAGGGTGATGAGCAGAGGGATAAACTTGATGAGTCATTCCGTGAAGCTAGAGGAAAGAGTTTTTGAAACTAGGCTAGGGTTAGAGGTGATGATCAGCAGAGCAGCAGTGTGGCTGGATGCCAAGAAAGAGCACTACAGATGGAATTGAGTGTTGATGGAAAAGTATTGAGAAAAGGAGGTTCGTGAATGCAGTGAAGGCGGACAAGCAGAGGGCTGGTGTGACAGAGGAGGATGCTAGGCTCACGATCCACTGTGGTGACCCCATAAAAGGAGCAAGAAAATGAGTCCAGTCCCTTCTTTCCAAATGTACAAGTTTTTATCTTGTATTTCAGCTGCTACTGAAATGACTACAACTGTGGAAGCCTCTATCGCCTCTCCAATAAAAAATCTTCGGAAGAAAACAGATCTGTTCCAGCTGCAGAAGGTAACTGACCACTTAAATTGTAGTTTTTGTCTTTTGTTTCTCCAGAGGGGTTCTCCGCCTCTTTAAAACTGCTGTTTTGCTGTTGCTTAAACTATCGTTTTCACAGACGCTGCTGGAGATGAACGAGTCTCGGAGAGCCAAGCGACTGAGTCCATTTGAAAACCTCAGGAACGAAGCGCTCGAGTTTATCGACAATTTAGTAAAGTAAGACAAATGAGACTCTGGTTCCCCCAAATACAACTCGCATCACTGCAAACACTCTGCAGCTAATGATTTTATTCCACCCAGGAGCCATCTGTCCCCCCCAGAGTCACAGCCTCTTTATGAGGTCTGCTACTACAGTTCATCTGCCACAGTGAGACGCCACCTCAATGCCACACCTCGTACCTCCATTCAGGCTGCGCTCAGCAATCCTTACCACTATCTTCAGGTACACCTGCTTCAGCTTGTTACCTCCCTTATAAGCAGGAGGAAGTGAAAGTGAAGAAAGTTCTTCTTTTGGTGTACAACCACTAATGTGCAGCGACGTTCTAAAAACACGTGACAACTTCGACTTTCTTTTAGAACGACAGCCTGAAGAGCGAGGATGGGACGGTGTCCAACGCTGCTCCCGACATCTGTATCGCTTACAAGCTCCACTTGGAGTGCGGAAGGCTGATCAACCTCTACGACTGGCTGGAAGTGAGTTTATAAACTAAGACATTTAATAGTGAACTCATTACCTGTAATGGACCAAGGTTAAACTTCCACAGCTTCCCACTTTGCTTCATAAACTTTCTTTAGCTGGAAGCTTTTGTTTTTCTCAGTGTAAGAGAGGCTTTATTGATCCCGAGGGGCCCACGTGTCACATTATCAGTCTGAGGATTAATTATTGGCCCAGAATGACTCGGACGGTGACATGAATGAAAACATTTATTTTCAGGCGTACTCCACCGTGGTTTTGGCTGCTGAGGGTAACGATCCGGATTCTGAACATTTTGGGAAAGTGGATGAAGTCAAACAGTATCCTTCCAGGAAAAAAAAAGTATTTCTCACAGATCATTTTGTGCTGCTGCTGTTTGTGTTTTGCTCAGTGAGTGAAAATGAGTAATGAGACAACAGTAAAGCAGCTACTCCTCAGTTATGTCTTTGTTTGAGTGTCATGATTGGATAAGACAGTTGAGGTAATTCTAGTTTTGTAAGCAACCCAAATACTTGGGGAGTTATAATGAAAGTTAAGAGCTGAAGAACACAAACACGACTGCTGAAATATGCCATTTACTTTTAACTTGAGTAAAGACTTTTTGTTCCTTAACTCGTCCTTTAGCGCTCGTTTCATCCGCGCTGTATCAGAGCTCGAATTTCTGGGCTTCATCAAGTCTACCAAGCAGAAGACCGACCATGTGGCTCGACTCACCTGGGGAGGCTGCTAACCACAATTGTGATGAGAAACATTTTTTTTTTAACATCTGTAGAAATTAATTTCAGATTTGTATTTTTCACTCTAATAAAAGACGTGCAAATTACACCTGCTTCTTTAAATAATAGACCGATGTCAGGTGCTGTAGGTCTTTTCTGCAATGACTGGTACACCTGGGCCAATATGCTGTTACACTGAAGCACAACTCAAACTAATTAAGACATTATAATATACTGAGGTTTCTCACACATTACTTGAAATTTGACCATGATGTCAGGCATGATACAACAGCTTGTTGCTAGGGAAAAATATGCATTGTCCATTTAGTTGGCAGTGGTTCATGGAGGCTGCTGACTCTCGCTGAGAGAAATGTCTTGTAAAGTTGTACCAAAAACCTCCAAGTGATTTTTTTTTTTCTTTTCAAACAGTTACGGTTGCCTGTGGAGGTTTTGTTTGTCTGCAAACACCTGCTAACGAGCAGCGGTAAAAAAAAAAAACTCACGGTGGAGAAGGCAGGCTAGCCCTGAAAATCATCCTTTATCTTCATGTTTAACTCTGATCTGGACCATTTTCATTCAAACGAAAATGATGTACTAAATAAAGTCTTGAAAGCAGCATTATAGTTTTACAGATAGAGTGAGCTGAGGGATGCTATTCCTATGCAGTTCTATATAATCCAACTTACTACTGTAATCAAAGCAGTCACCCCTTACTGGACGTGAGAAAGATTGCAGGTTTAAGGCACTTCCATATTCCATCTTTCACTTACAGTTTGAGAGTAATTTAAGCACTAAATTGACAGCAGTCCCAATGCTGTTTATCACAGCACTCGATCACATAAGTTTACTTGTATTTATTAAGCTATTCCTGATATAGTTTGACGCATCAAACCAGTTTTCAACTCTTAAAAGATGTTTATTGTTTTTAATAAGTACATTGGTTTCAAAGTGATACCAGCAGAACAAAACTCAATAAATAAAACACTGGTGGTGGGAGGGGGTGGGAGCAAATTAGCCCACTTTATGCTCAGTTTAAAAAGCAGTGAACAAACAGCAAACATACTCTTTCTGTTTAAACTTGCGTTTCTTCCACATTCTTTCAGACCGACCTGCCAACCTTGTGTAAAACTCAATGCCTGCTTTATTGTATTTACATGTAACAAAACAGAAACAAGTGACAAAGCCTGGAATGCTGGGAATCAATACAAAAGTGAGATAACTGTAGATGCACGTACAGCTGGAGGAACGTAGGCCACTGGTAGAAATAGGGTCCATTTACATGAGGAAGCACCTAGTTGCTTACAACAGAGTGGTAACAACTGACAACAGCTTCATATAAACCTTTGCCCAAAGACAGATATATGGCACAGTAAGAAAAGTTTCCTTTAAACTAGCTAAACTTAATCTCTTACAATGATGAGTTTTTTTCGCTTCTCTTCCTCGAGATATCACGTGATAGCTTGCAGCGTGGGAAGGCCGTCTTGCAAAAATTCTGTGCCACACTCAGGAAACATCTGGAGAGAAGGGAGGTGAAATATAAATAAAGTAACCAGAAGTGCCAGTTTAAATTTAAAATCGTAGAGTTCGAAGTGAAAGCCGAGGCTTTGTCCTTTACATCGAATGTGGAAATAAGGTGGGATTAAAAATAAAAAGGAACTCACAGCTTGCAGGTTGCTCCCCAAATCGTCGCATTAACTGATCATGTGTGAACTTCACAAAGGTGTCATATTGTTCTGAAATCAAAGTCAACCAGTTAAAACATTTTACTTCACAACTATTGTTTGCTAGTTGGGGAAAATATGTGGCTAACATTTGCTGGTTCAGTTTTTTTAAACACATTAGCATTGGGTACCAACCGGCCAACTTCGAAGTCATGGTCTCCTCGTATTCCTCCCGAACCTTCTCTTCCCTTTCTTTCAGCAGGCGTTCGCAGATCATTCCAACTTGTCTGAGGGTGAATAATGGCTGTTCTTTTCTAGATGGAGAGACGCCTCCAGAGGATGTTCCTGTATAAATAAATAACAACCAAACCTTAAAACCGCACTGTAGAATGGGCTTTATGATTATTTGAGCTTAACCTTGCGCCTTTGCCCACCTGCCATGCTGGAAGCATTCATAGTAGACGACTGGGATGGGGATTCTGGCGAATAGCAGCACTCTGACTGTTGGTAGCCTCCATCTAGATGCTTTCTCTTTTGAATGCGTTTGTACTCCTGTTTGATGCTGTTGAGGATTTGTTCTAGTGGGGTAAACAGACAAGCAGGGCGTCCATTAGTAACAGCTGTCATGTTTTCACCTTTGGGGCGACCGTGGCTCAGGGGGTTGGGAAGCGGGCTCTCTGTCCTGGTCGTTGTGTCCTTGGGCAAGACACTTTACCCTACTTGCCTACTGGTGTTGGCCAGAGGGGCCGATGGCGCGATATGGCAGCCTCGCTTCTGTCAGTCTGCCCCAGGGCAGCTGTGGCTACAACCGTAGCTTGCCTCCACCAGTGTGTGAATGTGAGAGTGAATGAATAGTAGCATTGTAAAGCGCTTTGGGTGCCTTGAAAAGCGCTATATAAATCCAATCCATTATTTGACACAGAGTGACTCAACATGTTGTTGTTGCCCCCCTCCAGATAGTAAACAAGCAGGCCAACTTAGCCAGCATTACCTGCACTAAGTCTTGATGAAGACTCCCCGAATGGCGAAGGCTCCATGCTGAGATATTTCCTAGGGGATGAGGATGACGGGGACACGGGGATGCATCTTCGTCTTTTGGGGGATGTAGGACTCATGAGCGGATCGAAATCCATGGTCCTCTTCAAAGTGGCTCCACACGCCATGACTTCAGTTTGTTAAAAGGGAGAGATTGCACGTAAAAACACCGAAACAAGGCAATAACGAGGAGATGACATCAACTATTTTGGACAGCTGCTAACCGAGCCTAATTTTTTACACAACTAGCTAATTGTTAGGTTCAAATCAGTTTCCTTTGTCGATGGATAAAACTACGAGCATACTGCGCAGCTCCGGCTTTAAATGTCTGCTAGCGAACTAGCGTTAGCTACTCCTGCTAGCCAATAATAAAAATAAAAAAAACAAAGCTAACGTTAGCTGTGGCTGGCGTGAGCGTGTGTCCTGGTTAACATTTGTATAAAGCTGTTTTTATGTTACCTTCTGGGGAGGGGGGAAGTTGGCCTGCAGCACCGCGCTCACCAGCTCGTGTTGTTAAAGTTGTTTCTCAAAAGTTGAAGTGACGATCAGCCAGCTGCAGGCCAACTGTCTGCTGTTAGATAGGGGGGCTAGCTAGCACAACTTAGCTGCCTGTTTTTGATGCGATGTTGTCGCTGTCGGCTTCTCTGGTTAGTGACGTCACGTCTAAAACCCCCCCCCCCCCCCCCCCAACAATCTCAAAACGCGTTGAATTCTGGATTATGTAGTGAACCATGAAGCGTAAACCAATGACAAAACATGACAGCGCATCAAAAGTCAAAAAGTATGGGTCATAAACCCCGTTTAATTTAATTGATAATTGGTTTAATTTTAGCTTTGAGGAATAAACTTCACATTTGACAGTTTGTTGTGATTCTTTTCTCTCCGCATCCTGTATTTCTACTCTTAATACACTCGTTTGTTTTAATATTGGAGTAAATATTGGAGTAACTGATGAAAACAATGCAGAGGCTCAGCTATTATAGCCTATTATGAAACCTGCAGCTGTTTTAGTGACAACGCTGAAGGCAAAATGTCAAACCATTACATACAGAGCCTCTGTGCTTTGCCCGAGGATGATGGACATTCCTTCTAACATCATATTACTAATTTCCGTGTGGAGTTTTTCATGTTCTCCTCGTGTCTGCGTGCGTTCTCACCGGCTTTCTCCCACAGTCCGAAGACTTGCTGTTAGTGGGGTTAGGTTAGCTGGTGATTCTAAATTGGCCATCAGTGTGAATGTGAATACGAATGAGTCTCTCTGTGTCTGTCTGATTCTCTCTGTGTTAGCCCTGCGACAGACTGGTGATCTGTTCAGCATGCACCCTGTCTCTTGCCCGGAGGTAGGTGGGACAGGCTTCAGCCCCCCGCAAGCAGAAGAGAATGGATGGAACATTTTTTTTAGCTTAAAAAAGGAATAAAATACAGCAGGTATTATTACAAAGCAATAAAAGGCCCTTTTTAAAAAAATGGGATAAAAACATGAAGGATATTACAGGGGGACATGAGTGCCTAAATGAATTAAAGAAATACATAATTAAATAAGTAATTACATTTGTCATTAATAAATTAAAATGAGAAAGAATTAATAATCAAACATATAAATAATTAATTACACAAGTTCATTTCATTAAATTATTTAATCAATTATTTATTTGAAATTTCAATTAAAATCACATCTAAACGATTATTTAATGATCTTATTATTGAATTTTTTTCAATTCATTTTGGCCCTTGTGGCGCTCCGCATAAAGCTTTCTTCTTCAGCGTGTAGAGATGGCTTCACTCAGCTGATGTGTACAGCTCTAAGCATGCCTCTAAAGGCAACAGATATTAGTAATTCCATTCTTAAAATGCTGATACAGATATCTATAATTGGATTTCAGCATGTTGACTTGGGATTATCAGTAGTGGAAATGTCATTTCCCAATTCAGCTATCAACTAATGCATTTCACACTTCTCAGCAAATCATTTTGGGACATGTTTGCCTAATTAGCTAATTTTTAGATTACGTGATTACGTGTATATGTGTTGCTTAAATGATTGACAATGTCTGACTAATGTGCATTTGTTTTTATTGCCATATGTAATTGCGACAGATACCATTATCCGATGATCTAAAAATCTGATATTCCATAGCTTATTTTTTTACTCTTTCAAACACACACAAAATCAGAATTACCAACCATGTGTTTGTGAGGTTCCAAACACTTGTTCCCAACAGGGAAGTTGCAGAGTACCATCTGGTGGACAAACTATGCAACGTCAGCACTTAAGAATTTGTTGGTTGCTGTTTCTCAACTTTTTAAAATTTACAAATTGCATCTGTAATATGGGATTGCCACTAGTGAGAATTTAACTGTTGATGTCAGCAAATTCTGATGAACTGAGCTGTAAATATCATTATTTACAACTGGAACTTGTCAGCATTGCATCACGAATGTGGCGACTTGGAATTAGAAAAAGTCTAAGTTGAACTGACATTTTTCTATCAGTATTTTTTGTTTGACTAGGTGTCAAACAGCAAAAGTTGAAAAAGTAGTAATTTAAGTTACTGACATCAATGGACATTTCAACTAGTGATAAATAAATACGAATGTTAAAAGGAAGAACAGTCAAAAAGCATCAAATATAGTTCAAATGTGAAGATAATTATCACCACATGAGGGCAGTGTTACACAAAAAGACACATAGGAGTTTATTCTTCTACTAACTCCTAAAAAGTACCAAGGGGTCACAAGGCGAAAGGTTAAAGAAAGGAAAGATGACACTTTCATGACTCTGAAATATTTACATTAATAGCTTTTGTCTTGTTTCTGAAAAAGTAAAATATCTTACTTTAAGGCCAATCACACTCAAAACTCACCTTTACTTGTAGAACATGTGACACTCCAATACCCCAGATAGTGACATACATTTTTGACTTTGAAAAGGAAAGAAAAAAAACCGTATTGTGCGTGTGTGCGCAGTAAGTTTAGGTACCGATAAGCTGATTTTCACCATTTTATTGAAAAAGATACCAGGCATGTTGACAAAGTTATGATAAAAATAGACAAATTTCACATTTTCGAGCACATTCTTCCATTTACACACAGGAATGAGACACAGTGGCACAAAGTATGCTTCACAGGAATATGACAGTGTAGATTTGTACAAAAGATGCTCTTTTTTTTGTAAGCCGGTGTGAAAAAAAGCAGCTAAGCAACACTCCCAAAACACCACAGGCTATAGTTTTGATCTGATCAAAAGGCCATTCATAGTTCAACACTTTGCTTTTCAAAATAAATAAATAAGGTACTGACAAACTTCACAATATCATGGACTTACAAAATCATCAATAGTCACTTGAAAATTATTAATGAAATGCTTTTACTTACAGCAATGTTCTGTTATTCCAAACTGCTATTTTGTATGAGGATGGACACATTTTCACCTTGCATGACTGCCACAATGTTGCCGTATAATGTAATGTGAAAATCTTCAAATGCAGTTTGTCTTTACTGCTAAATCTGTAAAAAAAAAAATCAGACAACAGCAAAGATAACAAAGCATAGCATTTGCTTTGTAACAATGGAGAGAAATGCCCTTTTTTCTTACACCTATAATATTTATTGAATTATTCTTCATAAAATTGCCATTGTCAGTCAGACAACTCATTTTTCGCAAAAATGAGAACATAATGAAATAAGTACAGCCCTCATTAGACTAATCACACTCCACTCTACAGGGATCCAGTTTTATAACATTACAGATTAAAAAACAACAACAAAAATTTGCTTTCAGTTCTGTTTGTCAGTCATTTTGGCACATTTCACAGTCACAGAAGAGTGCACTAGGAGGATGGGGGCTATTCTACACTATCCTGACTTCACAGTTGTCTTGAGCAGATTGGACCGTCTTTTATTAGACCGGCTCTGCAGCAGAAGTGTCAGTCCCTCCAGAAACTGTAACCTGGGCTACTTTAATTCGAGTCTTTGCACAGTTTCCTCCATCTATCCCCGCCCTGCCTGCTGTGGCTCTCACGCTCTTGATGTTCCAGTCACTCTCAGCGCTGCTGTCCAGAGTCTGCGTTGCTCCCCGGCACATATGGCAAATGTTGAGGAAGGCCCTGCGCAGGTCCTTGCTCCTCATGGCGTAGATCACAGGGTTCACGGTGGAGTTGAGCAGGCAGAGCATGCTGCAAAAGGCAAAAATGGTCTTGATGAAGTCGTTCACCTTCCCAAAGAGGTCGTAAACCATGATGGCTAGGAGTGGACCCCAGCAGATGATGAGGGCCACCAGGATCAAGACCAGGGTTTTAGCCAGACGGAGGTCCATACGGGCTTGGTCAGGCCTTACCGTCTGCACTTTAGCCCCCTCTGCGGTGTAGACAATCACGCTTCTCTGAGAGGTGCGGCTTAGCATGCGGACTGCGTGGTGATGAGACTTCCAGAGGATGAACATATAGGCGTAGATGATGAATAAGAGCAAAATGCTCGTCATCCCAATCCAAAACATCAGGTACTTTTGGTCAATTAGAGGGAAAATGTCAGAGCAGACTGACCCGAGACGCTTGCAGTTCCAGCCCAGCAGCGGCAGCAGTGAGATGATGATGGAGATGGTCCACATCATGCTGAATGCAATGACAGCTTTAGTCTTTGTGATGATTCGCTTGTACGCCATAGGCCTGTGGATGGAGACGTAGCGGTCTATTGCAGTGAGAAACAAGCTGCCCACAGAGGCAGTGAAGGAGGCAATAACCCCAGCCAGCTTGAAGAGGAAAATATTAGGGCTGTCCTTTCGGTGGAGGACATGGAAGTCCAAGAAGCTGTAAACAAAGATGATGCTTCCTATTAGATCAGCCACAGCCAAGCTGCCAATGAAGTGGTATGAAGGGCGGGATCGAAGGGTCTGGGAGTGCAGGATCACGCACAGCACCACGAGGTTCTCCAGCACAGTAAATGTACCCAGAGTGAGTGCCAAGATGGCAACCGCGAGCTGCTGGCCGGGAGTGAGGATCATAAAACACTCCATATTGTCTGCTAAGTTCTCAGCGCACTGTGGCGCTCCTCCACTCTCCACAGCGGTAGCATTACCCAGCAGCAAGTCTGAGACATTGGTGGGAAAAATGGGAGAGAGGGCGCTGAAAATGACCTCCTTGCTTCCAGAGACAATCCCGGGAAAGGAGCTGCTGATGGGAGCAGAGTGAGTTTTCTCATAGTGGAATCCATTCTTGATCAGCCTCAAGTCTGCTGAGGGGTCGTCGTAGATGGCATCATTGGAGCCGAAATACTGGACACCTGTTGTTAAGGTGCTCACCGTGGTGCCTGCTATCCTGTGCAAAGCCAGCTTCATGGTTTTTGAGGCTGTAGAGATGCTCAGTGGAGAGGTATGTGAGGTATTAGGAGTGTAGAAGAGCACATCTATGAAGAAAAATGCAATTATTTATTAGAACACAAGAAAGTACCTCTTGTTACATCACATTAAAACATATTCAATACAGGAGATAGTGCCAGCTCTTATTTAAAGATTAATATAGTGGAAGATGAATTTGTTACTAGGAGTTATTCTGTGTATCGACCAGCTGACTCCACAACAGATGCATCCCAGACAATAGTGGGAAACTGAACAGTTGATGACAAACCTGTGCAGCCTCGGGGGAAATCACTGCATTAAGAATGTAGGACAT